CCCCCCCCCCAAAAAAAAAGGAAAAAAAGAAAAAAAAAAGGAGGGACGAATGACGTTGACTTGTCAATCGGGACTGACCGATGAGCTGGCAAACCGGTCGCGGTCGTTGAGGCGGCGAATTGGCGTTAAGGAGTGGGGAAGCAGAGTGTATGGTGGAAGCTGCTGTGGAAGAAGAGGGTAGGCCAATGGCAACAAGAAAGAGACAGGAAAGAGAGATCGCGATGGCCAAGAAGAAGGTAAGAGCATCTGAGCAGGCGGAAATTCCATAGCCAAGTAGAGAGCCGAGCTTGCGAAGCGGCGAAAAGACAGCCATGAAGAAGAAAAGAGCATTGCCGCTTTGCAGCCACGTGGGAAGATGGTGAAGGCCAAGAAGAGGGAGGGAGGGAGCTGATATGCCATGGGGAAAAAAAGCCATAGCCAAGGAGAGCGCATCTTGCATTGAGGCGAAGAAGTGGGAGGGAGGGAGCTGGTATCAGCGGGAAAGAACACCATAGCCAAGAAAAAGAGCGCATCTTGCAAGACAGGCGGAAAGAAGTCAAGGGCCGAGAAGAAGGAGGAAGCCGGCTGGTGCCAGCGGGAAGGAAAAAAAGCCATAGCCAAGAAGAAAGCATCGTGGAGGCAGACGGAAAGAAGGCGAAGGAAAAAAAAAACCATGGCCAAGAAGAAAGCCATAGCCAAGGAAGACAGCGCATCTCGCAAGGAGACGGAAAATAGGCAAGGCCAAGAAGTGGGAGGGAGGGAGCTGGTATGAGTGGGAAGGAACGCCATAGCCAAAAAAAAGAGCCCGTCTTGCAGAAAGGCGGAAAGAAGGCCAAGAAGAAGGAGGGAGCCCGCTGGCGGCAGAAGCCATAGCCAAGGAAGAGAGCGCATCTCGCAGGGAGACGGAAGATAGGCAAGGCCAAGAAGTGGGAGGGAGGGAGCTGGTATGAGTGGGAACGAACGCCATAGCCAAGAAAAAGAGCGCGTCTTGCAGAAAAGCAGAAAGAAGGCCAAGAAGAAGGAGCGAGCCCGCTGGCAGCAGCGGCAAAGAAAGCCATAGCCAAGAAGAGAGCATCTTGGAGGCAGAAGACGAAGGCCAAAAAGAGGGAGGGAG